CTGGACGTGTTTCTTTGTGAATCAACAAGTCCAATGGAACTTGTACGAGGGCGTCGCAGAGGGCCCAGTTGGTATCCAATGTATGAGATGACGCCCCCAAAACTGGATATTCGCAACACTGGTCTGAAATCGAAATTGCTGAAAGAAACGGGAGAAGGACGTGGGAGCTGCGTAGGTGGAGAATAGGCGCTGACGCGGTTGTGTGAGGTGAGAAGATAAACGAATGTGATCGCCAATGGATTGGGGACGATTTTCAAGACGAACATAAATCCACTTGGTGCTCGGTTAACTGAAGGGGGAATTCACCTATTCGACGAATCGACACAAAGAACGATTATTTTAAGGGATTCATCTCTCGAGGAGAAGGAAACTTCTAGAGAAGACCAAAGGTTTCAGAACGACGACAATTCTGGCAAGTCTTTTCAACTTGTTTCAGACATCAGGTTCCAGGTTTCGAGGTTATTCATAAAGAAGCAGCAAAGGAATATGAAAATCAAATGCACCGAAATATTAGTTCGAAATAATGAGGCCGAACCACCACAGTCCTCTTCAAATACGATCTGCCCCAGCTAAAAGCAGCTAACTTGTTCCTAAATCGGACCTGGACAGAAGACTCATAATTTAGCTGCTCCGCTCATGTCCGGGCTGAGGAACGAAACGGCAAATGAATCCACCTCAAGCCTCGAACAATGAAAGCAGTCGGTATTAGTAAATTTGTGATCATGTGTCTTGTAAAAGGCGGCAATATTTCGTTCTTTCATCAGAGTTTTGTTTTACAAATGTCTCCGCTAACACTGCTTCTAGGTAGAGAAGTTCAGATAGGTATATCGATGAAGGATGAAGCATTCGGCGTGGTAAATTCTTCTTGAGATACGCCATGCATTCTACCTCCGATCAGAATCATGATAGCATTTTGAATGCTATTTGACCCGTTAAATGAGTTGGACAGATGTAAAAGTCAACATGGTGATGGTGGTAGCAAACCTGACATCATCATAGTAGCACGTTAGAGCGGCAGCCCATATGGCCTGCCAGGGAAGCATGCTCATGAGACGATGGCGGCCCATATGGCCTCATATGGGTTGCCAACGAGTGAAATAGGGAGTAATATGTAGCCATAACAGACAGAATTCACCGAAAGTTTACATACGCTTTATATTAGAAATTTTTGTGAACAGTATACAATTTGTGGTTTGGTTGATTGCTCTTCATTTTTTAAATATAAACACGTAAATGAAAAAAGTGCTAGAAGTGAAGACAAAGCTCTACGAAAGGAAAGATTAGTGGTCAAATCGAAATAATCCAGGTATAGATGCTTACAACCACCACAGCGGGGAAAGTGAACAACTTTTGCCTATTCATTACCACTACTATTCGTTTTGGTACTAATGCATAAGTAACCTTTACGCATTGAACATTGATGACATTATTTCTTTACATAAATTTTTTTGTTTATTTACCGTACAAAATCTCCGGTGTGAGGTAAAGGCGCTTACAAAATCGCGTTCGGCTTCCATGTTCATAGATATTAACATGAAAATAGGGATGGGTAGACGTCGAAGGCGGTCTTCGATCTTCTGTAAGAATTCACCGGTCGTATGGCTAACCCAGAACTTCGCGTGCTAATCTGTTCGATTCCAGTTTTGCTGCGATCTGCTATTCGGCAGCTCCGAATTACGTAGGATATCTTCTTTCCGCTATGCTATGGAGTTTGTAGCGGATGGGAAACTGTGAGCGATCATATCACGAAGCGCGATGATAGATGGACCAGAGTAAGCATGCGCGCGCAGAGGAAGTTGCCCTTGTGACTCTAAAAACGTCTGACTGAGGTTTATACTTGAGACATCTGCTATTACTCAATCGAATGTACGTACTGCAAGGAAGGACCTGTACGGGAACCACGACTGAAAAACACAGATCATGCATCTAACCAAAGGTGAGAAGAGGCGTCTTGGAATTTCGTAGCAGCATTGGATGACAAAGGTGGTCGCTCATGAGGTGGCAAGTTGGTGAAATCATGGTCATTGTTCTCAGTTGCCAGGCAATCTCTTTCTTTGGCACCTATAACTAAAAAAGCAATGAGACACTAGAAAGCGAATTGAGCGAATTATCTTTGTTGTCCTAGCAACAGTCCGGCGGTTTCAACTAATTCCAAAGCTGAGGTGTGGAATAAATGCCCCAGCCCAAGTGAAAGTCGAAAGGAACTGTCATGAAGTAAAAAATCACACTCTGAAATGCGTGAGAAAGGCTCGAGTTAGTCGAAAAAGGAGCGGGTCAAACCGAGCCTCCGGTATGACCCCCTCCTGCTGCTAGTGAAGAGGGTTGTCTCGACATAGCGGTCGTTGCGGGAGCCGCCGCGCTGTAGTCAGGTTCGATTCTCATGAGAGCGCACGTTAAGCGCTTCAATTTCGATTGCTGGCAAATAGTTAGTATTCTGCAAGCATGCATTGGCTGATTTGCCAGCAAGCAATTTGGAGCGTCATGTACTAGGGCAGGTTCGGATCAACTCGTCACCGCACGTCTCCCTAAACGGCAGGTGGATCCTGTTAAGCCGCCTGCCGCGACGTTTTTTTCTAACTTTTTTTCTTTCTCCATTGCACCAACTCTCACCTGCAACGTCATCAATAGTGTCCTAACTCCACGAATTCGTTCCTGGATTGTTGCTTTAAAGGCAAAAGTGACGATTAGTGATAGCCCTTAGAAAAATTCTCTCTGAGTGAGGTAGCAGGAACGCTAACAATAAGAGTGATGGTACTATAACGACTTGAAAGTGCGCGACAATGAATGCTTAGCTTGACCGCTACAGACGCTGCCGTTCTTACCATTTGCAGCTGGAGATGGAATCGTGTTTAACACAAAATTCGTTATTTCCTTATTCGCGACCTGCAGCATACGTGCGTCTGAGGCATCCGGCGTACGATGTGCTCTCACCTTTTCCCTCTCCACGCAGCACAGCACTCACCGGGCCGACCTTAACAAAAAACTTCAGTGTTTGTCATAGTACTTTTGTTTTCCTCCTTTTAAACTTCCTCTTCGCTCTTCTTGTCCGCTTTAAAGGAGGAATTCACGATTAGAATGAAGGTCGAAGAAGGGGAAACTGACTTAGTCGAGGAACCCACGGACCTCCTGAGGGTTCGAACTGACGCGAAATCCGCATGGAAAAATTTGACCTCGGCGACCTCCATGCCTCAAAGCTGGCGGGTCCGGCGATCTCCGCCCACCGACCATCTGACCACTCGCCGCAGGTCTATACGTGGCGAGTGATTAGATAGCTGAGAGAGCGTGGTGCTGAAGAGGGCACAGCGATGAGAGTCGCATCAATGCTCAAATCAACGGGCAAGGAAGGGGTCCCATTTCTTGGGTTCTGGGCCGTTTCGCATGGTTTTTCCTTCTTTAGTGTATCACTCACCATCCCTAGGTTAATTTGAAATGGGTTGCTTTTTCATCGTGAATTCTTCCTTTAAACAAGATAACTACGCATCTTTCAATGATGACCATGCTGTTAAGGATTTCGAAGGATCACCCAACTGACTCAGGAGATAGATATGGGCCTTGTAGTTTTTACATCTATGAATTTCATGCTCTTACAGAAAAAGATATGAGGAAGAGGCAGGTCCAACCCTGCGCTAGGCAAATTAAAAAATTTTTACGATTCCCTTTCCTTTCAGAGGGTATCGGGACCACCCCCCCCCCGTATTAACTATTATGTCTTTCTTATTTGTTCTGAAGACATCAAGATTCTTTTGGGGAAGATTGTTTGATAGCGACCGCTGACGGGTAAAGCGAACCTCCCATTGAAGCTACCTCCCATTGAAGCTTACATAAATCCATGTTAGAGTGTGATTTCTAATACACTCTTCTCTTTCCTCTCCTGCCATCTCTTCGATTTTCCTTCACGTAAAAACTATGTGTTGCTTCTTAGAACTGGATCGAAACAAAAGAAGACAGCTAAACAATTGTGATTTTTTTTCATCACGCGCTTAATCTAGTGTGCGACATTTACGCTCTTTCACAAAACGAGAAGAGCGTCGGGTGCAGACCATACACCACAAGTGACGACGGTCTCCATAAAATGTAAACGTTTTCTGCTAGTGGAATGATTTGCCTGTTGCAGCTATATTCTATCAGTTGTCACTAATGATAACTCTCCTTTACCAAAAATCAGCTATCACTATGAACCACTGCTGGGGCCGGGTGCAGCAAGCTCTAACTCCGGAGTGGGTCCCCAAAACTCCGCATCTCTACTCTGGTCGATGACAACTCCATGGTCAAGAACACGTGAAGAGTTCAGGGATGCAGAGTTTTGGGGACCCATATACGAGTTGGGGCTTGCTGCGCCTGGCCCCAGATTTACTTGGAGACCATCGTTACATGCGCTGCATGGTCTGCACCCAGCGCTTTTTTCATTTCTTGAAACGGAGGATACATCGATTAAAGATGTCTGTTTACAGCCGCAATGTGGGCTTCCTGATCGGAGACATTCCTTCCCAATTTTTTTTATTCTGCGGAAAAGTGCAATTCCCGACTTACCGAAGCGTTTTTGGTATGCACAATTAAAGTACAGAAATGTTGACTAAGGAATAATTCAATTATAGTAATACATATGAAGCAGCTTTCTTCAGGCTGTAAAAATCTCCAGTACGCCCATGCAAACCTCATATAGTCTTTCGTATAGTTACTCTGATCGTTCTAAACCTTCCTTAAAATATTCGATATCTAATAGGCAATAATTGCAGTGTCCAGCGACAAGGAAGCGCGTACCAATCGTGATTATCTGACCAAATTGCACACAAATTTGCGCGCTTGCCCTTCGAACTAGTTTTTTACCGCATACAACAGTTGTTATTTATGCTAGTCTTGGGCTTTCCAATTGTGGAATAGTTCGAGAATTTATTGCAGACTTAAACTGCTCTTGTAGATTCTTCTTGTTTACTTGCTTTGTAACGCTGTTAGCATGCTTGTTGAAAACGAACTTTTGATTCTTTGGTATATTAAGGTTCATGGCCTCTTCCAGCGACAGTCCACAGTCTATAAAAACAGTTTTGAAAAATCTGAAGAGCATCAAGAGAATAGCATTTGACATTGGTGAGTTTTCACCTTAACAAGTTTTTATTTGGTCAAGTTAATAGGTTGTTTCAACATATTTTCCCCTACTTCTGAGCTGAATTTCGGCAAACATGGAGGCTTTGGATAGATTACATTTTCCCATTCGCTAACATATTTGGTGGTACTAACTTTACCCTCAGTCCTCGTGAGACATTAATGAAATTAGTGAAAAATAACTTCGAGGAATAGTACTTATTTTTACCAGCTCACGCTGATATTCGGTGGGTTGGAGTTGTGGCAGTGTACCAATTTTGAATGTAAACCGATTTTTCTAGTCACCCGTAATCCTGCACATAGTTCTATTAGTCGATCGAAGCACAATATGGGGTCTTGTGAAGAGGAAATCTAGATTGGGTAGGTTTAGTTGGAGGAGGCATCGTGGGCAACAGTTCATCCAGGCAGCAGTAATCACATTTCTGCGAAGGAAGGCAGCTCCGGGTGGGTTTCCCAGGTTATGCAAGCAGGGTAATAAACGAGTGTGAGAATGTAAAACAAAATGCGAGTGCTGTCCCATCATACGCGCTTTAGCCTCTTGTCCTCACAAATCTGTTGTCTTATTCGAAAGGCGATTTTTTCTGTAATCCATGCTAATGCTTTATTTAATCCTGTGATAATACGACAAGTCGGTTTTTCTTTTATCTGGTTCTCTACAATTTAAGACTATTTCTGTTGAATTGTTCATGTTTCTTTACCGCACGCTATGCGTAAGCCTTATCTAATATGCTCATGAGACGGAGCAAGGACTAAGAGTAGGAGGGAATCTATATCTAACATTGGAGGTCTTTCAGGACATGGAGCACTTTTTCGAAATGGTTTTATGTATGTTGTGGGACTCATGCGAAGAACACAGAACCATGATCTATTTTCCTGAACACCTCCAGGGATGTCGAAACATCGGTGAGGAAATGGTCCAGAGTTCGATCCCCGGTAATGACCAATTTCTGCAATATAATTTGGCGCTCCCAAATTGCAACCAAATGGCGCCATAGTCGAGAATAGACGTCATTGTCGCGTGTTGTGGCATCTTGGAAGCGCCAGCATGAATTGCAAAACTTTGTCACCACTGAGGATCGAACTTGGGACCATTTCTTCCCTGCTGTTTTGAAATTTCTGGAGACGTTCAGGAAAAATGTATCTGGTTCTGTGTTCCTCAGCATCTACAAGATTCAGTAAACCATTTTGAAAAAAAATTACTCTATGTCATGAAAGACCTCCCTTGTAAATACCAAATGATGGGTGGTACGGATTCGATAGGATGTATCTGTGCTGTTACATTCCGATGTAGGCGGGTCATCTGTGAATATTAAGGAGTTGATAAGTTTCAAGTGGTCATCACGACTCACCCTCTTTGACAACGCGCCAATGTCTCCGCTGAGCGGGGCATCGCTATGCAAAGCATAGATGTGTCAGACTTCGTGTTTGCAATCGCGTTCGCAGTCGCATGTGGGGCGTGTCGTTGTTGAACCGTATGATTTATAGCTCCCCACACCACTGGATTTTCTGACATATGCCAGAATTTCGCCCCACCTCCCTCGCGACTGTGATCACAGTTGCAATTGCGAAGTCTGACAACTAACTATGACCACTTCTCAAACAAAGCCGTCTATTTCTAGTATGTTCCAGGTCAATCGGTTGTGAAGATTGCTTACACAGCAACAGTTGCTCGTAAGAAAACAACTCATGATAAAAAGGTTCGCTTGTTAGTTGTAGTTTCATCAAGTCATAAAACCCACTTTCTTCCAGTTAATAAATGATGCAAAATTCGCTCTACGACTATACTGTATACAAGTGCGGCTTGAAGATTTCGAGGATGTTCTCGACTATATCGCAGAAGTGAGCTAATTTCAGTACAAATATTAGCTACCCGGAAACGTGTGCGGTTTTACTGTATCATTTCCTAAGTTGCCTTTATGAATCAATGGTAGTTTAGAAAATCTACCATTCTCTGAAGTGAAAAAGTTGTTCTTTCTTTCCCTGGGGGACATCCAGCGAGTCTCACCCCACCCATTTCCATCTCGCAAACATTGATCTCACCAAGTAGGCGTTCGGTGGTTCTGCTGGTCGGGAAAAGCGGTCTACTTTGAACTTTATGCGTTGCAAAGAGGGCTGACGGACTACTTGCACCCGGTCCTTTAAACCGCCTCAGATCCATCTTTCGTCTGCGCTCTCTCGCCTTATCAGCGACTCATAGCCATTGTGATCACACACATTCAAACTTTTGCCACACTTTAGTTGGCTCACCCACCTCGAAGTCCCCCCCCCTCCTACAAGGCTTAGTCCCAGGGCTCCCACCTCCTCCCATGTGATTTGGAGCCCAGCCAGGCGCAGTTCTTTAACTGTCTGTGCCCTCCGCCATTCGTGGCAGGACCATGAAGAGAGTTCAAGTAGTCCGTAAACCTTGCAAAGAGCATTTGAGGAATAATCGAGCGGTCCATGTGAGGCTACTCGGGTGATCCTAGCCTTCCCAAGGAAAACTGGTTTCTATGAGCTTTATTCTTGATCCTTCGTTTGACAACTGGAACGTCAAATAAATGGGCGATGGGTTTGATGTTATCAATGCATCAGCCTGCTTCACTTGAGTCAAAGGCGCATGTCGTGAACTTTTTTATCGTAGAAGTCCCTCCCATGAATGCGGTCGCTTCTTTGTAGCTGTAGAGCTTTGCCATTTGTTGGCCTAAAAGCGCGTCACAGTGACGTTAGGAGCCTTGGACTTGGATTAGCTCATGCCCTATAGGGCCAAGAACGCCCACTGTTGCGGAATCTCGTCTATCATATCGCTGCTCTACTATGCTGTCATTTTGATATCCTTTTCGCTGCGTTTCTTGACTCTCCCATACCATAGCACAAGTTGACCTGTATTTTCGATGTATTGGGCGTTTTCTTTTCCTTGTTCACCCGCTCCGCATCCCTTATTCCATAATTGAGTGGGATTATTCATGTGCCTGCTGATGTGTTTGGAGGCGTGCTTGCCTTTAGACGCTTTGTTGATTGTGCAAAAAACCAACAAATGATGCTTTTTCCAGAATGGTCACATAGCGACTAATAAAGCAACGTTTGCGAGCACTTCTCCTACTCACGCTGTGGAACGGATGATTGTCGAGAAGCTAGGCCTTGAGTTGGTGTTTCACATGTTTTCTTGATTTATTTCCTTTCTTTTTTTTCAAGTTCTCGATATTAGTCCATAACTTTTCTAGCCTCCATAAAGTGAAGGAAATGGATTGTTTGGTTCGCGGAACAAATTTCTTAATACGAAATATTGAAGCGGAATCGTTTACCTACGATCATCATCATGAACAATGTCGATATCATTTTGAAACCATTCGACCCTCTGTGATTTGTCCATATTTGCTGGTCAATGTGGGAACCGGCGTGTCCGTATTTAGGGTTGGTCGTTCGATTTTTTCCCTTATAAAGTAAGTCCCGAGCCACAAAATTGTCGCTCTACTTTGGTTATAATTTCGATGACGCTCCCAAGCAAGGTGTTTCTAGGTAGACAACGATGATAAATACGAACGTGTTGGTGGAAGTTCTTTAGGCGGTGGTTGTTTCTTCGGTTTGGGCAACCTCCTCACTGCAGAAGTAGGTCTGTTGAGATACAATTATTGATGAGTTTGCCAGTAATCCAGTTGTTTGTTGGGATGAATTATATACATGTAGACCTGGATGAAATGATGCGTATGGCAGAGGATGGTGATCATCGACAGTTCGATATACTCGTGTCCGACATATATGGAGGAAAGTGAGTTGTTGTTTTTGTAACTGTTTTATCTTTTGAATTTTAGTTAGCATGCCGTTCAGTTGGCCTCAAGAATAAGTATTCTCTGGGATTATCGTTTTGCTTGTTAGTATTGTTAGTAGGGCATTCCAGGCTTTCAGTTTCCGTATGGTCTAGTTCGTGTCACCAGAGTTTTCTGTGGCATGGAATTTGGAAATTGATTTCTGATCCAAAATTTGCCAATTTTTTTCTGTTAGATGTGTAACTTCAATAATGTACGCATAAAATACGACGGCTAGGCCGGCTGTTATTGAAGTTAAACGCTTCGAGTGGTCCTTCCCTTTCGTTCAGTACATGTGCTCTGTTTTAGGTTCACCAGTTTGGGTCTGAGTGGTGATCTCATAGCTGGATCGTTTGGTAAATGTGCTCAGAAGTCTCTCGCAGACGAGCTTAAAAAATGTCCTGAGTTTAAGAAGAATGTCATGCGAAGTCTTCTGCTTATGATAAACAACAGCATTGGACAAGTCAGATCTATTTTCTATTGACTTTTTCATCGCTTTCAATCTTGTCTTGTTGCAAGAATAAATCCTATCTGTCTAAAGTGTTGCTTCCTTTTCATTCTGATTGTGTGAACTTGCAGTTTGCATTCATGTATGCTCAAAGAGAGAAGACGAATCGGATATACTTTGACGGATTCCTTATCAGAAACCACGCCATCATAATGCGAACCATTTCATTTGCAGTGGCATTTTGGAGCGAGGTGAGCAGTGCATAGAAATGCTATATTTTTACTTTATTTTATTACCAGATTGGTCCCCCGGCAAGCGCCGGAACCTCCCTACCTTGCGTAAGCTTTCCCTTCTCCCTCATCTCCTTACTCTCCCCTCGTTCCCCTCTGCTCGCCGGCTACTACAGCATCACCTTGTCGAATGACCGAAAGTGTGCTAAGTGCGTGTTTATATAGCCGTCTATCACACATGCCATTGCAAAACATAATTAGCGAAAGTCCTTGAGCACTATTCTGTTAGCGGTTTTGTTATCCCAGTGAGCTTACTTTCACTCCACTGCATTTTGCGGACGGACACACATACATACATACATACTACAACATACATACATAACATTAATACATTACATACATACATACATACATACATACACATACAAGACGTACAACCGGACACACAAAGTTAACGCTTTATAAATAGAGGATATTCACTGATTGTGAGAATAGCCAATTTTGACGTTCTTAATCTGCACAATGTAACGCGCAGGGAGAGGGGGAGCATACCATAGTGTGATATTGATATGTATTGCGCCTGTTAATGCTTCAAATCGCATGCGTATTTGTTATCGTCAGAATGCAGTAGAAATGTCCCAACCGTGGCTTCTAAATTCATAGTCAATTCTTAGTGTAGTTTTTATCTGAATTTCCTAATTAAATGGCTTCACATTTTTCAATAGTTATGTTTTTTCGGTGTTTGTTTCTAGGAAACTGGGAGTTTCACGCAGGGCATAATTAGGATCATTTTGATGAAAGGATTCTAGGGAACTCAACAAGCCCATTTTCTGCGGCATGAAGGATACACTTCTGCCATAGGGGCGTATCTGAATGGCGCATCACTCGTGGATCCTAATGATACCGAGTTCGGAGCAGGATGTGAGTAGTGGCTTTTTGATCGTGCTCAGTATTGCTATCAGTCTAGATGCATTGTAGATGAAGCAGAACGTCTTTCTTGGCATGAGTACTACTCTGGTTGCTCAGAACTCGGGCGATTCGTGCCAACTGCACCATTGTCCATGGGTTTTACGGTAAGTCTTTGCATTTCACCCATTTCCAATTTGATATTCTGCGTTATAGGCTGGTGTACTCGAGCTCGAGTGTGCAGAAATAATTCTCAGGCCGTTTCCTCTGTTAGCTGAGAATCTTCAGGTTCGAATATCTACTCCATTATCTTTATTGTCGTTGTTTTTTTTTGCTTTTTTGGTGCCATACTTCTCATATTGCAATCTAAAATGATGGTGTAGCCTAACCCATTGCGTGCTGTGGTCTTTTCGCGCATGCTGGCGCATGTGACATGCGCCTGCTTATAGTCGATGTCCCGTGCTGCGCCGACAGATACAAGTACAGTGGGTTTCATATTTATAAGGTCACCCCAAAATTTTGTAATTTTTCACTATCACCAAATTTTCCCCTTTATGAATAACCACTGTATCAAAATTTTGGCGAAAGCAGCTTTTCTTCGAACTTTTTCATAGTTATTTTTCGGTTTTCGCACCGTTTCATAATTATAAGGTAACTTTGAGAAAAGGAACAATCACCTGAGATCAATGACGGATAAAAAGACATAATAATTTATGGTTCTGCCTTTATCAAGGGCAACACTGAATAGTCTCCGTAGCCTACTGGAATTGAGATTCCAAGGTAGATGGCCATCGATTTACTGTAGTGTTTCACTGGTTGCTTTTTCAGCTCTCTTGAAAATCGTAACTGGCATTAATCCGCATTATTCTTCATGACGAAGACGCTTCTAATATTCTACTAAAATACGACTAGAACTCCAGAATAATCTGTTCAATTCATCTGAGTTTCGAGAGAAATGCTTCTTCTGGTTGAGTGACCAATATTGGTACCTGTGTTGTTCTGTATTACTACGTAGGCTAGCCGACTTGATCAACTCAAGGGAGAGGTCAGACGTCCTTGCAAGGCTCTATGCTATTCTTTAACCCATTGGCGACATTGCGGCTCGACGCGGGGACGCACTTTTTTTTGCCACGACGGGCAATGCGGCTCGATGTGGGGACGCAGCATTGAGATAACTCTTCTCCGCAGGATTTCCAGAAGTGTTGCTATAGCAGTCAATCAGGAAGGCGTTGTCATACTTACGTATTGATGGTCAGTGCATTTCTTCTTTAGCTGATGTTTTTCACGAGGACCG